AAAATTTGCCGTCCGCGAGGACTATATACCCCCCCCCCCCCTCGACGGCCGCTCGACGGCATTTTTGGAGGAAAAAGTGGGCGGGGTTTTGATGGAAGATGGAGATGGTGGAGGTAGGGAAAAGGGGGTCGTATCAAATCCACCTTGGGGGAGGGGGGTCGTAAAAATTTTTCGAAAAGTAACAACGATAGGACCGACCCTGCGGGAGGCTCGACTAGGTGTTTACTTGCGAAAGTAGGACCAACTCAAATATTAGGACTTCTTAGGCGCCAAACCCTCAGCAAGTGTCCGAATGGAAACTTTTCAAGAGTCTTTTGTTCCCGTAGCAGCACTGAAGGCAGCCCACCAGCGGCAGCCCTTAACGAGATCCTTGCTGCCAAATCCCATTCTTGCCATTGGAATCCCCCACTCGTTAATTAGGAACAGTGGGAAACAGTGCGGTAGACTAAGCATCTATGAGAAACCCAACATGCTCCTTCTTGGCAGGTTTGTTATGAATGCAAATTCAATTAATTTAATTACTTGTATCCATGTTATAATAAGGATGAACTGCACCAGGACTCGAAGTCACCACAAAGCCCAAAGTCATATTAAAATTCCAGCGTCATTAGAGAAGGTATAATAATAGGAAGCGAAAAAGGCACTCACGAAGCTCACAGCTGCGTCCACTAGAAACGGCCGAATGAATGACGGTCGGCAGGAATAATGGCCGTAGAGGGCTAAGCCGGTCGCGATCAAATGTAGCACTGTGAACAGCAGCACTAAAATGCAAAAATATAGAGAGAAAATTAATTGAAAATTATGCAAATGTCGAAAGGAGTAGTGGAGGAGCTAAGGGAGTAAGGTTTTGATTTTTTGTTCTATTTTGAGCTTGTGCAGCTGAAGCTACGACTTGTCGAACTTACTACTACGCAGAATGGCCCGAAGAAAACTTTCAGGAACCACAAAGAAGTGCTGGTCACCAAAATCAGAGTAGAATCATCAAATAGAGCCCAACGTATCCATAGCTGCAGATTTGCTAATTTGCAGTGGACACACTGGGTCTCATCCAGTAAGGGGGGCATGTGGTGTGACAGTTCTTGCCGGCTACAGAAATTCCAATTTTTGCAAGGGGAGGGAATCCCCGGGGTGCGTGAACCATTTCGCTTAAACTTTTACACCCACCCCGGAGCTTCCCTCCCCTGAAAAAAGTGGATTACTTCATGCAATATGAACTGTCGCACCACATGCCCCCCTTACT